TTAATCCAGTTCCTCAGCTGCAAGCAGTAAATGGGTAGTTCTGGCTTAAGTATTTTCACTTTCAGTTCTTTGGATTATCTTGTGATTTCTTGGAGACTTCTGGGCACAGTTGTTTTTTCTTCTTTGCTTTGTGAAGCAATACAAAGGTGGAAAGAGGATGAAGAGCCCTGGCACTCTCCCTTCCCAGCTAAAATGAGTACAGTACTTGCTGTAAGTAAACTTGGCATGACTCTGATTTTGAAGCGTGCTACGCTTGACTGTCAGATGGTTTAGTTTTGAGTAGCGTTCAAAAGCTCCACTTCTGTGTTATGCTGGGGGAAGAAAATGGATTGTTAGATCACAGGTAAGCCAGTAGTCTTAGCTGCTCTGTGCTTTTTGCTGAGAAGTGAATGAGCAGGAGCATCCCCCTAGCAATGCAGTCCATGCAATACAAGCGATTTTGTAGGCATGAAAAGACTTCTTGGTAGTCCAGTGTGCTAAAGATGACACTTGTTCAACAGAGCAATCTCTAAGACTAGTTGGTGCCTGTTGCTGGATGTGTGCTTGCTGTGTGGATGAATTGTTGGTTTAGTAGGTTTTTTTCTTCATGCCTATCACAATACCTCTCCAAAACTGGCAGTGGCATCGCTAGAGCAGTCTTGTAGCAAGCCCTCCTTAGCACAAGGCTCGGGATGGCTCTTTCTGCACCAGTGTATGACAAATCATGGAGAACAGAAAAATGCATGAAATTCTCCAGGCTGAGAGTGACTTCTGTGGAGAGGTGAGAGAGTTTCTCCGAAAGAGATGTCGAGGAACAGATCTAAACATTGCACTTGGCTTCTGTGGGATATGGAGCCAACTGTTGGTATCTTCCCCCGCTCCTTGGTCACGATGGTTTGTAATAAATTCACATTGTGTATGGCTGTGGAATAACAAGATTCATTATGGATGCTAAACCTGGTTGTTCCCACCTCCATTAGAATATTATGTCAGGGAAAGGACTTGGGAGGATAAACAATCCTCCAGCCTCTACAAACCACTCTGTGGGTCATGGCGGTTGTTTTGTCATGGTGGTATCATGGGGAAGTTCCCTGTGTAGGAACTGAACCTTTTTAACCACGCTTTGTAACTGATCCACTCAAAATTGGTTTATTTCTACTGATAATACACTGATAATATTGAGCCAGCGCAGAGCAAATGGGATTCAGTCATGCATTTGAAGACAAACAGAATTCACCTGACTTTGGACTTTAGGTTTTTAGTGGGGTGTGATCTGGAAGAATGACCTTCTCTCAGCCTCCAAACTGAGTAGGTCGGGGAAAAACGTGGCTGATTTTTTGTTGTTGTTGTTTTTTGTTTGGCCAAGGAATCCATTGTGGAAATTTTTGAGACGGTAATGCCAACTTCTGCATTTGCTTAAGTTACTTTGATTGTATTTCTGCGTGTTGTTCTGTGTTTCTGCTGTAAAGCTGGATTACAGAGGGTTTACGATCACGTGGAAGTGTTGCTGGATGGTACTGGTGTTTTCCTTGCTGGCACTTAAAGGATTTACTTGGTTATTATGCCAGAATGTGTGGGGTTGGCTTATTTTGTCTTTCCACAAATTTCCGGATATTTAGTTACTCATCTGTAGGTAAGTGCTTCGTAGTATTAGAGCAGCTGACCTCTGAGTGTGGGAGAGAGAACTTAGAGACCAGATGCCAAGAAGGGGATCTATGCAGACATAACCTCCTTTTAATAAAAAATAATAAATTAAAAAAACTAGCTACCTGTAACTGCTTGATTACTATTGTGCCGAAGAACTTGTGTCAAAGGACTTACGCATCTGAGACTCTTAAAATGGATTGCATTGAATCTTGGTGCTCTTCCCGCTTTAATGCGTTTTTGACTTGATATCTCTATTGTCATCTTTGCATGTTCAACTCGAGTGTTTCTCTTGACGTTCCCGGTCGCAGCCTGTCAGTGATGAAAGCTGGGTTAGAGTATTAGCTGTAAATGTGTTACAACACGGCAAGACGTTGCTACCTGTTCCACACTGGAAGACGGGTCTAGCATTTGGACTTTGGAGAGGGAGGTAGATTTCTTACAGTTCTAGGAAATGTATGTAGAAAAAAGGTGTGGGAGGGATATCAGTTTTCATTTCGGGTATTGCTACTTAAAGCATTCCTATGCTTAGGTTCCAGAAAAGATATTTTATTTAGGCTATTGTTTGTTTTGGCATTCCTTATGTGGTTAAACAGGGAAGACGGTCACTGTGCTGTTAATGACTCTACTTCATTGTTGGAAAAATCCCCTTCCTTCAATCTCTACCAGACTTTTTCTAACTTCAGAGCAGATGTGGCATGAACAAAGTCATGTCTATAGTACTCAGTTTTTGACAGATGCTCTAACTCATTGGAATACTAACGGGCTATAAAGCCCCAGCAAGTGAAGGATGTGTGGTGAGTGGCCAGAAGGTCAGACTGCTGCTTGCGAAAGCTTGAAGAGAAAGAGGTGGCTGATGCTGGTTTTTAAGGCAAGCCACAGTTGTTTATTTTGGGTTTTTCCTCTCTGAGTACTTCTGCCAGAGGCTCAGTCTCTCGGTGAGGACAAAAGAAAATAGGATGAGAGTTGCAAGGAAACCACTGGTCCATATAGCCTGGGAAACGTTATCCTCCCCAGAGCATGGTTATATAGGATGCCTGGTCTACCACTGCCAAACCCCGCTCTGCCTGATTTATTTTTTAAATTCTAGTCCTCTTGCAAACTCCAGAGGCTGTGTGTGGTCAGTTTGGCCTCTTGTGCAAGAAGAATTCCAATTTTGGGGGGAAATCGTCTGTCTGACTTGATAAGCATCCTCCTAATTTCCAGAACCTGTTTTTCTTATCAGAAAAACATGGATATACGTAAATGTTTGCTCCCCACAGAGCACTCCCATTTGGGCACTAGCCAAGGGAGGTATCCCGTGTGTAACGGGGTGTAAGGGGTCAGTTACCCCAAAACATGTTGGGAAGAATCTGACATCTAGAAAAGCAATGTGCAAGCCACAGTGGTTTTCAATTCCTAAGTTTCTTTTAGTTAATGCATATATAAGCAAGTCAATTAAAACACATTGGGCTTATTTCAAATAGATAATCTAATTATCAGCTTGATTAAACCATATCAAATGAACAGTTCTTGTAATTCGGTAGCTTTGTTCTAATCACTGCAAAAGCAGTAGTAGCTTTAATTAAGAGCCTCAAAAGTGGCAGACCAGTGTCGATTGTGTCAGTTGAGGGGTGTTCCAGCAAATACCCGATTGCAGGGAGGATCGAACTGTTCCTAGGTTGATGCTAATATGAAGACCGACTCTTTGGTGCCAATAAAGGGAATCTGACTATGTAATAAATACCATTAAATGCAAGCAATTGTCCTTCTCTGCTGTTTCCAATGCTCAGATACAGGCTTAATTAAATCTATTCCAATATCACTCAATTAGGCTGACTTTTTGTAATGTTTATAGGTTAGTATCACCTACCTGTATCCTTCCTTAGCGTAAGACCTACAGCTTCTTACGTCAATGTGTGCTTCTTCAGACTGCAAAATTGCTTGATTCCTCAAATACCTGACACAAGCCTGCTGCAGGTCACTTGCTGAAGTTGAAATGCAAGAGTACAAAGACGTGGTAACCCTTCTGCTAAAAATGGAACAGGAAAGCTAAAATTCAGGTTTAGTTTGCTGGATAACTCAGGAAGTCAACACGTGGCTGAAGGGGCACTCCGGACGGTGCCGTTTCTCTCTTATCGCTTGCTTACTAAATACTTAGAGGCCATTCAGCAGTAAGCTCCTACTCGTGGTGTGGCCAGAAAGCCTGGGATGTACTCATTGCATGACTGTAGGTGAGCAGCCAGCCTCTGCTACTGATGCTTCGGGTGAAGGCGATCAGCAGTTGCCTCCATTTCTTCTGGGTTTGATGCTTTCTCCCTGCCTTTCCACGGAGACCTCTTGCGATGTATTGCTTGGAGGGAGCCATTCTCCTCCTGTCCCTGGCATGCCTCGTGCGTTTGCAAGAAAAGTTCCCTCTTACAGTAGATCAGAGCCAGACCACTCCTGTAACGTTTGACCTGACTGGGAAAGTCCAGGTGTGCTGAAGCTGTCCGGCCTGCCAGCAGCTTCGTTAGGGTGCTGGGTGTTGGTTTGCTCAGCCGTGCCTTCAGCAAGGCAGTTCCTGTTCTGGGTGCAGATTCTTATCTCTTTCTTTTTATATTTCAGTAATTTGTGTTGGTTTCAAACAGTGACTTGATATAGCATCTAGATGAAAAGTCAGGAATGACATACAGATGAGTAATTCTTTTTCCTCCCATAAATGTATTTTTAGGGCCTCTCTGCCGAACATGATGATTTGGTTGTTTAATGTCCACGACGTTTATAAAATGCAACTGTAGGGAACGACAACAGCAGCGAGTAGCCAGGTTCGAACCTGTATAGGCATTTGCATGTATTTAATTTATTAATGTTGGCAGATCTCTGCTTAATAGACCAAGTTTACTTTTCACATGAGTAGGTGGACTTCTTGTTTTTCTTTTGTCTAATTGTTTCAGAAAACGACAATGAAACAGCCTGCCTGTATCAACATGCAAGCAGTCAAATACCTGGGATTTATTTCTGCTGTATGCCCTGGACCAGCATTCAGATCAGCTTTAGTAGATTTGATGAGAACTTGTAACGTGTTAGAAACAGCATCAGTGTAACAGGGAACGTACTTGGACTGGGAGCTGGGTGAAACAGCTTTCTGGCCGTACCCTGGTTTTCCCAGCTGCTGTGACATTTGCCATCACCGCCTTGCTTTTAATTACTATCGTGTTCTATGGCTTAATATTAAACCACATCTCATTGCATCCTGTCTCTTAATTGGCTTAACTGGCCATCACCCAAAAAGACTCTACTGTGTATAGAAACAGGCTTCCCCAAATATTTCCTAATTGGCAGTTGGTGCTTTGTGAGGAGATGGGTCTCTCTCGGCGATATTAATAGATGTTTTCTTCTGTTCGTTCTCAGGATTGGACATTGATCCTATGACGCATGCCCGGAAGAAACAACTTTTCCTTCTGAAACATCCAGCTGGTTCTGCTGGCCAAGCTTCATCACCAACAGGCAGCAGGAGGATGGACAGGACCGAGGCAGAGTGTGGCGAGCAGAGAGACAGGGATGCCACTGAGGCTCCGAACTGTCCGAGTGGGTTTGTGGGGACGAACAAAAGCAAGAATTTGCATGAAGTGCGAAAGACGTACCCACTGCGGAGACGACTGCTCCCCTCGGTGAACAAAAAGACCTGCAAAGTGCTCCTCACCAGGCTGGAGGATGTGGCTGGATCTCTGTCGAAACAGACCCAGAGCTGTAAAAAAAAGGACCTTCCCAGTTGGATGGAGGGTTTGGGACCTGCTTTGTTCTCTGAACAAGTTCAGCCTGTGGGAGCAGGGAAGAGTGATTCATCTGGGGAAAAGTGCACAATAACTTATCCAGGGACAGAGCAAGACCTTGATACTGCTCCTTCAGAGCCCAGGAAACGCAGGCTGGCCTCGCTGAACGCAGAGGCAGTGAACAATCTGCTTTTTGAACGGGACGATGGCTTATTATCCGGCAGGCGTTTTCGGAGAGACACTGTTAAAGCTGGTGGAGACTGCACCGTTAAGAGCTTGCATTGCAAAGCTGCTGAGAACTGGCCTGCATTGGAAAAAACAGCTGTGAAAACAGGTAAAGGGAAAAACCGGCATGAGCCCAGTCAGAAATGCAGTAGCTGTGACCATTCACTGGATGAGGTCTTTGATGATGGGACAAAGAGGGAGGATGGTGCTATCTCCTATCATCCCACCCCAAAGAGACTGGCTAGCCTGAACGCCGTGGCCTTTCTGAAGCTGACCCACGAGAAAGACCAACCCCTGAAGCAGAGGAGTAAATCGGACGGAGAGGGCAAGTCCGAGAACCACTGTTCAAAATCTACGCTGAAATGGGCCAAAGCCGGTAGGAAGAATTGCGTCAAATCCAAGAAGGAAATGGCTAGCTTAAAAACAGAAGGTCAGCATGGCTGGCGAGGACTCACTCTAGGCGCTTTTGGGAAAGGAGAGCAGCAGGACTCCTCTAGGCTCTACGGGATGGCAGAACCCGTCCCCTACGAGTCGCTGTCTAGCTCCTATGCTAGCACAGAGGGTTTCTACCACAGACTGCCTTTGCTTATGGGTGGACAAGCTTCCATGAAGCCGGAGTATGGAAGACCCGGAGAGAAATCCCCGACCCCCAAACAGGAATTTCATCAGCCTTCCTTTCCCGTGCAGCAGTTCCCTCCCTTGCCTGTGCCCGGAAATCACACGGATTGTGGATGTCTCTATGAATCCTCAGATCTGACTCCATTGAACGGGTTTTACGTTTATTATGGCCAAAGTGGATACAGTGGCTACTCTCACTGCTCCGTTTACCCCAAGGACGAGCTTTCACAATCCGCTACCTGCGAGGGGCTCTTGGTATCGCCCGGTTCCTTGCCGTCAGGTGCTCATTTCCAGCCACTCCACTGGTGTAACTCTCCGTACTGTTGTGGAGAAGGAACAGCAATTAACAGTTACAGCGTCTGTGGAGTCGTGCACGTGCCAGAGGGCAGGATTAGCAGCGTGCATGCAGGACGGAACAGCTACCCCTACAAAATGCCTTTTGCAGCAGGTAAGGTGCAAAGTGTGAGCAAATCTTGTTCGGCATTCCTAGGAGAAGAGGGCTGGTTCGGCGTGGTGGCTAATGAAGGTACCTTGTTGCCAGGAGGCAAGCTCCCTCTGCGCGTGGTGCGTCTCAGCTTTGGCAGCCAAACTGCGGCTCGGAGAGAATCCGTGTTTCACCTCCCCTTCCCCCATTTTTAGCCCTGAGGGTTTTTCCCACTGAAAGGTCTTATTGGTGTGGAAAGCATAGAATTGGTGAAAGGATTTGGGCAGTGAGAAGGTGACTCATGACTTGTTATGCTGGAGCTAACCGCTTAGCTTTGATCTGTGTAAAATGAGTGGGTTTTAGTTCCTACATGCTCTGCAAGGCTTCTCGCCATCCTGCTGTGCCGCTCTGAGCGGAGGGTCTAAAGCACATCGGGCTGAGTTACTCCTCTGTTCCCAAAAGCTTGCTCTCGGGACTGAAGCATCCTTCCAGAGCAGAGCGGTGTGAAGAAGCAGGCATTGCCTCGGTCATTAGACTCTTACTGGTGCAAGCTGTATGGACGATGCAGTCTTTTAAGATTTTTTTTGTAGATCAGATCTAGCATGGCTGTGTAGCAATTCAGTTTGAGTCTACTGTTTGGACAGATGCTTGAGTTTCACTGTGGTGATACAAGTGCCAGGTATGCTGTTCATTTGGTGAGTAGTGGTCCCATCTTTGCTCTTAAACAATGTCTGAAAATGAGAACAGGTGACGGTGTAAGAGGTGATGTAGTCATTTGCCTGACTCTCTTCTGTCCCCTGTCTGTTTTTCAGACTTTGTCCTCCAGTGTGCCTTATCTTGAAGCTTTGCCTTTGCTGTTGAAAAATATCTTTTGAAATATTTAAAACTGAATTGTTGTGTGGGGGTTATCGGACACCAGTACTTTGTATAAAAGCCACCCTGCTAGACAGCCCTGCCGTTGGCAAACAGTACAGTCTATAGATGAGGCTGCTTTTTCAGCTGTTGGGAGTGTAAACATCAGTCTTTCAATTAACCACGTGTTCGAGTCAAAAGGAGGCATGACTTATCCACTTAAAACAGATTTTCAGGTAGGTGGATGAAGTTTTGGTTCAGTGCTTGGTTTGAACAAGGCTTTGTCGTCTTCCGTTGTAGGAAGCTGCTGAAACTTGGGAGCATTTGGTTGAAGTATAATTTCCGTTTTCCCTAAATATCCCCGCTGTCACGGTGCCGCTTCCTACGGTAGCAGCTGCACAGTGTTCGCTAGTGGCTTCAATGCTCTTTAAAGTTGAATGCTTGTAAGACAACTAGCTCAGCAATGTGTTCCTGTCTGACAGTTTTCTGCGGAGTGCCCTGAGGTCATGTCAGCCTACTTTGCTCCTGAAATTTTGCATGCCGGTGCCTCTAACTTCGTGCAACCAGAAGGATGCAGGCAGTGCAAAGGCAGTATTTTGGGGGGTTCAGCCCTCCCTGCGAACTCGGTAATTTCTCATGGTGCTGGCAGGGGCAGTAATGGTTCCAGGGGCATGTATTTACTAGCGGTGTGTCACCCCGCTGCTACGATCTTTCTCGGTGTAGGTTTGTAAGTGGCAAGATAATTTCTTTTTCTAGCACGTTTTGGATGCGGTGCATTCTGGGTTAAAGCTGACTGTAAGTATAAATGCTTCACTCATTCTGATTTCCTTCCTGTGAGCAACTTTGATTTAAAAGCCTACAACATCGGAATAATTTAGACTTTATTTTGCAGATTGAAGTGTATAAGGAGGTCTCCTAGAATATTAACAGGGACTTACGCTTAGGAGTTGATTTTTATATGCGTGTGCGCCTCTGAAATCTCACCCTTCCCTAGAGTGGGTTATTTTAGTGAATTAAAGGAGTACTTTGGCTGGAAGCAACAGGCTCCTGTCTGAGAGCACTGGTACGAGAGGATCCAGCTTGACGTGTTGCATGCCTTGTGTTATATCTGTCCTATTTGGTGTGTTCAAGGTGTTCATAGGGCAATATCAGTGTCTGTTTGGTAGAAATCGAGGGATCAGGCTGTAATCTTGGGCAGTCGTGGTCTGCCATACGTGGGGGAGAGGCATTGCTCTCCCCGTCCCGTGGTTGGTTTGCAGCATGCAATTTGAAAGCAGGGTGGTGGGGATGAGCTCGGACAGGCTGCGAGAGGTGCTTTAGCCCCAGTGCTGGTGGAGGGGCTGGAAGTGTGTGCAACCAAGGAGGGAGTCCCGGGGGTGCCAGCAAGGCTGAGTCTGCACTACTTTCCTGAAGTTTAGTAGATACTTTTGTGAAGCTTCATCCTACTTTAGTTCAAGCTTGAAAACTGCTTTTGTAAGCAAAATACTCAAGAGGTGATTCACTGCTCTATGGGTCCTGTGCCTGCCAAGGCTAGGCAGGATACCTGAACTCGCATCCTGATGTCTTGGCTCGCTGAGGGAGTTGCTGCGGTATTTGCAGCTCGGGGTCAGCAAAGTCTACAATGGTCCATAGCAGTCCTCATGCTTGCAGTTCAGCAGCGGCTTTGTTGCAGCCCTCTTGGGGAGCGTCAAGTGGGAGACTGGAGGCAATAATTTCCTGTGATTGCGAGGGGATCTCAGCAGTTATTCAGCTGGAGCTTGGTGACTTCAGATGTTTTTTCACTTTTAGATTTATTTTTTTGCAGCTCTGCAGCAGTGCAATCCCACAGATCTGCTAGGACATGCTCCAGTCTGGAGGCATCTCCTGGGGGTTGCCTGAAGCTGCCCTTTTTGTCACCCCAAAAAGCACACTTTCTGATTTAGGGAGTAGGGGTGCGTTGTATATTGGTCTGGGAGCTTTCTTCCTGCTGACAGTAGGTAATTCAAATCTGACTTGCTCTTCTGTCGGACATGTTGGCCTGGGTTGAGGGCTTGTTTTGTGACTCCTGGAGCGGTGTGAGGTGTTCTGGAATGCTTTTGAGAGGCAGCGTCAGCCGACTTACTAACCTGTGTGGTTAATGCGTCTGCTTTAGGGACGCGGTTTTGCTGAAGGCAGCAGTGTGCATCGTCTTACATAGCTTCGTTCCACATTGTTTCATATTTCTGGAGTTAATTTGGAGAATCTTCTCAATTTTCCCTGATTAGTAGAATTTGACTTTTTGAAAGAAGTTGGCTGCTTCTGCTAGTGTGGTTTAATCCTTCCCATCATTTTGATAAGCCTTTTATTTCTTTTATACATATTGACAGGCTGGAACTGCTTTGGGCACTGGCCAGCCTTATGTGTATTACTGGCTGGCATTTCTTTGGGGGATTTCAGATGGGTTTGTTGTAGTGCAGTGTCATCGGCAGCAACATATTGGAGCATCGCAGGCTTAGAAATATCTTTGCTTTTAGAATCCAGTGACAATGCAAAATGAAATTACAACGTGAAGAGTCTTTACTGCTATGATGCAATAAAGGGAATTTCAGGGGAAAGCGGTGGTAGTTTGGGACAGTCTTGATTGTGTAGTTGTCTTATATTTCAAATGAGATACATGCCTCTTTTCTTCCCTTCTGTTAGAAGGCTGCAAGTCTCTGGACCAGCTGAACCTCACAATCCCTGTGGCAGGGCACCCCGCGTCACCTGCCCACCCGCTCTCAGGATGTCCTGTACCCAGCGTGCCACCGGCTGCAGAACCCGTTCCTCATCTGCAGACCCCCAACTCTGACCCTCAGACCATGGCCCGAGAATGTCCACAGAGCTCAAAGCCTCCCAGCGGCTCCAAATCCGGTCTCCGAAATACTACGGGCTGTCTCCACGCATCTGACAGCAAAGCAGCGGGAGGTCATTCCCATCCGAAGCAGCAACGCATTAGCAGGCGGAGAGCTACCAATGGCTGGATACCCGTTGGCACAGCCTGCGAGAAGGCCGTCTACGTTGTGGTAGGTGTCTGTGGAGTGCTGGTTTGTGTGTGTGTATGGCTATACCCATTTGTGCATCTTCAATGGACTAAGATCATGAAGGCTTGAGAGCGTTTTGGGTCTTGCTGCAAGGCGGAGGTGGTCACTAGATGCCATCTAGAACCTCTTGGACAAGAAAATAGTGCCTTTTGGCCGAGCTGCTGTTGGCTTTGTTTTTCTCATGTGCCCTGCTATTACCTTGCACAGCATGATAGGCAGTTTGGAAAGGAAGGAAAACCTGCTACTCCTGTGCTAGCGTCAGCTGAAATGCCATGATGATGAATACTTCTGGCTTCAGCGTTTGCAAGGGTGGCACCTGTTGCACCTGTGAGTCCATCCTACAGAGAGATCGTCCTCCAGCTTCTTCCTCCTGGGTTAGGGCAAACCTGTTTGAGAAAACAAGGGAGGCTTTAGCCTTGTTATAAGGAGCGGTTGTCTAAAGGTAGCTCTCATAAGGTTGTTCTTCTCACTGATGGTCTCTCTAGCCCCGCAGGGATCTCCCAGAGTGACTGAGACAGTATCCTGGCTCCCAGATGGAATTTTTCTAGCACCCAGTATCGCCCTTCTTGTCACTTACCTGGTGGCATGGCCAGTCACTCCTTCAAGGATTTCTTGTCTCTACTTTCTCATTTGTTGTGTTCAGGGGCTGAGACTGGCTCCTGCAAGACGGGAGATTTCCTGCCAGAAAATGTAATTAACTACAGTAAAGTCCACTTCAATTGAGAGAGAAGGCAATATCCTTCACGTTGTTAAAACATACGAGCTGTGGACTTGAAATCTGGACCCACATGCTGTCTGGGAAGGTGGGACAAGGCGTTGAACTGCGTGCAGTAAATGTCAGCAGCAAGGGGAGCTGTGGTCCAAGTGGACTCGTCTGTGCTGCTGCTTGATGCGGTGGTATAACCTCGAGCTGCTGAGAGCATCATCCAGGACGGGTTTTGTAGCTTCAGCTCTTAGGGCTGTGTACAGGTACCAAGGGCTGTGCAAGGATGAAGCCCGTGGAAGCCAGAGACGGGCCTCTTGCATCCGTCGCTCAGACTTTGACGCTTTGAAAGGAGCAGCGCACCGTTAATCTCCTTAAGTCCTGGCGCGTAATGCTTCCGATTTTGCCTGGGCGATCTGGCAGGAGGTTAAACCCATCCTGCTCAGGCATTCTGAAATGAGTTTTCGGAGCTAAAATAAAATACCACCCCCCCCCTTTATAGTCCAAAAAGTGATTATTTTGTAATGTTAGAGGGTACAAAGGAAACGTTAGCAATCTCGTTAAGGAAAGCTTTATGCCACGGCCTCCCTGCCCTGTTCATGTGAAACTTTTCATGTTTTATTTGTTTTCTTACAATGTTCGTATCGGAGAGACACATAGCATTCAAAATATGCCTAGTTTTCCGTGCCTTTGAATATGAAGGAAATGCACACCTACAGGTAGGCAGATAAAATGGTGTGTTTTCTGAAGGTTGTGTTTTTGCATGCAGAATTGAAGGAGCAATTGTTTTTTAATTTGAAATAAGGCTATTAATTTCAGAAATAAGTGCTTTTGTGAGACTTGCTGTCCCGCTGGTGAGCTGCTCCTTACTGCCAGCACTACGTAGGAGAAATAGTTGTGGTTTGCTTTATTTAAAAACAGTGGCCATGTATGACCTGCGAGCACTTGGATGCTATTCTTCACTGAACTTTCCTTACCTATGAATGCCGAACCCATAGAAAAAGTAATTTGTTTGATCTGATCTTTGTTATAAACTAACCTGGTGGGAATAGAGATGCCACGAGTGGTCTTAGCTGTATGACTTCTCTCGGAGGTCTGTTGGAGTGTGGAAGCACTTATCTGAGTAGGCTTAGGCAAGTTTTTAATTTGCAGCAGGACCAAAGGAGTCTTGGATTGGGGTAGCAAACAATAAACTAACTCTTTGCCTGTACGCTCAGGTTGCTTTATTTTTTGTGTGTGTTCTAATGCTATAGAATGAACCAGAGCCGGCTGTTCGCAAGAGCTATCAGGCTGTGGAGAGAGATGGGGAGATTATCCGGGTACGAGATACTGTCCTCTTGAAATCAGGACCCCGGAAGAAATCTATGCCATACGTTGCGAAGATATCGGCACTGTGGGAAGACCCCAAAACAGGTACTGTGCCAAAAGAGTATGTATTGCCTCTGTGCTTGACAGGTGAGGGTGAGCTGGAACCCGGGGAGTGGTGGATCTCGGGAGAGCTGCAAGCTTGTTAGGGTACTCCACTGCTGCCAGACTGGGTGATGAAGAGGAAGAGATTAGCTCCACGGCTTTCGTTCGGATTGTTCCAGGAACTGAAATGCTCTTTAATCACTAGCCTGGGACTGGTAATCAAAATCTTCCTGGTCGTGAAAGCACATAATATCTGCCAAGTGCCCACCTTAGCAACGATCTCCTTTATTATTTTATTGCAACAGACATCTCAGGAGCTGCTGTTTACTCAAATGCTCTCTCCAACATCTGGGCTGGGAGTTGGTGTGGAGCACGGGCTTATCTGCAGAAGCTCTTGATGGGACCCGAGTAGAAGTGGTGATTGGAGTAGTGTGGTTTTGATGTTAAGGCCCTGTGTCTGACTAGCGATACCTGAGCCAAGGAAGCTGTGCCAAATGTAAAGTACAGGTCTTAAAAGTAAAAAAAAAAAAAAAAAAAAAAAAGTTAGGGGTAA